CCATAGCCAGGAGCTCCCCCACACAAGGGATGCGACCAGGGTCACCTCACTGGAGTGGGGCAGAGCCTGCCGGGGGGATTCAGCCCCCCAGGGAGGGACACAGGGATCCCCAGGAGCTCCTGCAAGGCTCCAGGGTTACACACAAGCTCAGCAGCTCTGACCACCTGCAAGCAAAGTACTGACTGCAAGTCAGGACACCAAAGTGTGAGATAAGCAAGAGGAGAAGGGTGACTTTCAGAGAGCAAGTCCTGCACCTGGGGCTGGAAGCCTCGTTCACTCATCCGAGCCCCAGCACAGGGAGCCTCAGAGGGGGTTTCGTTCTGCTGGCAACGATTAGAGACAGGAAGCTACAGCTCTGGGACACCCTCACCCCCAGTCCCTCGACAGAGCTGAAGTCAAGTCATCAAATAAGTTAAAAAAAATTTTAAAAAAATCAGATGCATGTTTCAAAGAAAACTGGTTTCTTCTAGCTGGAGCTGCAAGATGTGTATTTTTTGACTTAAATGCTGTGGCTGAGGACTTCAGACTGTATTTCATTCCTGGGAATCTGGCTTGGAGCAACAAACTTACTGGTGGTGAGCAGGCAGGGCATGCGCAGGTTTGGCCATCAGGACTGCCCAAACCCCATTCCCTCTTTCCCAGCATGTCCCACTAAGTTACTTTCAACCAGGAGTGTTTGTTCCCAGCATTTAACACATTCTGATTAAAACAGATCCAGGAAAAAACCTGACATCTCCAGTAAATATTGCACTTCAAGATCAATGTGTGTGTTGATACTAAGGACTGAAAGCAGAGACTGACCTAAGACCTCCAGGCAGAGCAGGTTAGCATCAAGAGCAATGGTCCTGGAAAGGATTTTAAAACCAGATTAGTTACCCAAGAAGGGACAAGCCGCAAGTTTAAAAAATTAGTACATTTTAATGCTAGTGCTCTGTGAAAAAGCCAACTCCTGTTGCAATTCCACCACTGCTGAAATGTCTCTGTTCTCCGCAGCTGTAAAACACCTTCAGACGGGAAGGATCGGCAGGAAACACAGCAGGAGCAGAGGGTTTCTCCTAACGCACAGACAGATTTAGTACCAAATCATCCAGAAGTAGATGGTAAAGAGGCAACTGGAGCTAGGGCTCTCAGGAATAAAAAGCACACACACACTCACACACACACACACACTCACTCTAACCAACCCTAAACCCCCGATTCCAAACCCCAACAGAAGAGTTACACCTGAAGGGAGTCCTCGTGGTGGCTCTGCAGGTGGCTGGTGTGTCGGGGTCCCACTCAGACTGGCTCCTTGGACCTCACATTTGGAGGGCAATTTCTGTGCTTTTTGACTTGCTAATTCTGGTAGCCGTGAAAGAGAGCCACAACTAAATTGGCACATACAGAGTACCCTCACCTGTCAGCAAAAAAAAAAAATCTCTGACCAGCCATGTTGGAATGGGAGAGAGAAAAAATAAAAATAAAGAGGCTGGTTTTTGCAGGTGATTATTTTTATCCCAGAACAACTGGAAGATACATCCCTGAATGTGTTGCCCAGAGAGCTTTCAAAGTCTCATCCGTTAGAGATCAGAGGTGGGGACCAGGAGGGGGCTGGGGTTTTGACAATGCACTAACGCTCCACCGTTCCGAGCCGCACACGCACACTGCACAGCGTATCCCTGAAAATCCACGGGCTGCCAAGTACCCTCCAAGCGCTGTCCATCCGATGTCAGAACGAAGAATTACTCCTCGGAAAAGTCTCTGTCAATGTCCATATATGCCTCGTCGATGTAGCTAACTATGGCACAGGGGGATGTCCGGTCTGGACTGAGCAGTATAGATACAGTCTCTTTCCAGTAGGTAAAACTAATACATGAGCTCTGTGGGAAGAGAAGAAGAGGCTGGTTAGTGTGCTCCACAGGCACCAACATGCAGCAGAAGACACATCCCAAAGGCGTTCAGCAGAGAGAACTGAAAACTGCTTCCTGTTCAGCCTGACTCCCCCAGCCACAGAGTCTCACACCTGATTCACCGCTCAGCCCACCCTCGCTGGGGGGGGGAGCAGAAGGGGTGGATGCTGAACCAGCTACACCTTCTACAACCAGCCTCCCACTACCCAGCTACAGTCGGGGACCCCCAGCACCTGTAACAACTAGAACCCTGCTAAGAGCAGCACAGGGTGACCACCACCCCACAAGCCTGCATGGGCCAGCAGGCAGGGCTGCCCGTGAGCACACACACACACACAACCCGAACTTCTCCTTTGCTGTCCAGTCCACACACAAACTGGGACGCTGCGGTGCTGCAGATCAAGTCAATCCCACTCCTATGGAAGACACAAAGACGATACACCCTCCCTGCTCACACGTGTCCTCCATCATTCTCAAGGCCAAAAGGGAGCCTTGGTCTGGGCAGCACCTCCCCCCTGCAGCTCAGCGCATCACGGATGTGCCAGACCGTGGCGTGAACGTTGCGACACAGCGCCCGGGTGTCGCAGCCCCCACATCACTCTGCTGCTCCCCAGGTCTACCTGGCTCAGCCCAGCACTGCCCCAAGCAGGGAGCGTTCTGCACGAAACGAGGCTGAGAGAAAAGTGCTGCAAGTCTGCACTATTCAGTGCAGCTCTCCCTCCCACGTGGATTCCCTCCATTGTACTCCTCCTTTCCAGAAAAGCGAAGCTGCTTTAATTACTCCCAAAGTCCTAATGCTGCTCCTCTTCTGGTAGCTCATCTTTAGGAGACTGCCTGTGCTGCACCCGTGTCACGGCCGTCCAGCTACGTGCTGCAGCGTACACGCACACCAGAGAAGGGCTTTTCCACGAACACATTAAAAAGCTGTTAAAGCTGTCACCCAAGCACTGAAAAGTCAAGGAAGAAACCTCTGCAACCTCACTTCAGCCTCCGAGGGCATACACAGTGGAGTCACCTTCTCATCACAGGTCATCTCTTCCTCTTCTCAGTGCCCGAGACAGACTAGCTGAGGAGCAAAAACTTGCAGGCTGCTTTCCACAGGGCAGCTACCTTGTCTTCTACCAGCTACACCAGATACTTTTCCTGCACTGTTTGCCACACCAGGAAAAGAGAGGGCAGTCTGGTTAAGGTACTATCTCGTCTGGGAGCTGGATTCTGTCCTGCCTCCACATTGTTGTGCAGGCTACCTACCTCTCAAACCCGCTCAGCATTGGCAAGTCGTACTTCTGTGTGCCAGAGCCAAGAGCTAAGGCCTTGTGTGCAGGGAAACCCAGCACCTACCTTGGGCAGTCTGACTGCTTGCAGAAGGCACCTGTCTGGGTAAAGATGGTGTGAAAAGCACTACAGAAAGTTACACTGAGGGGCAGAACTTGCTCCCTTCTTTCCCTTCACAACCTATCCCGTCCCGTTTTTGCTAGGTTACTAGTAGACAGATACTGCTATGATTGATTCTTGCTATGGTGAAAGGTTCACGTACATTTTCTAAGCAGGTGCTGTCTTTATCCTTGTTGAGGTAATGCTGTTGCCAGAATCGCAGGAGACTGTGGAAGTTGTTCAGGATGAAGCCTGGGTATTTTTCTGTATATTCCATCTGTTGCAAAGTGCGCAGATAAAACGGGAGCTTTTCTTTCCTTCGGGCCAGCATTAGGATAACTAAACTCGTGTTCAAACAACTGACGTTTTCCTAAAAGTGAAAATGACACAGTAGGTCAAACAAAAAAAAAAGAGAGACATCGGTCGTACACGCGTCCTTACAAAACGTGCTCGTGACAGGCAGGCAGGGGAGGTGCATGTGTGTCAAGAAGGGACATGGGTCTCCTCAAGAGAAGCCAGGTTCCTCCCTGCTCCCAGCCCAGCCCATCACTGCACAGTAGCAGCAAGATAACAGCCAAGTTACTGCCAGCTCTTTACCTGTGTAAGTGTCTGTACATGAATAATATTAATGAGACGGAAAAGAAAGGACATTCTCATGGACATCTGGGACATATATGATAAGAGGCGGCACTCTGACAGGACTTCTGCAACTGCAACAAGAGGAAAAAGACAATCATCAGGTACTTAAAGTTCAGATACACTGGTCCAAGCAATACGGCAGTTAAGAACTGGCGCTAAGACTGTAGCACCAAACCTGCAAGGCGGCATTTCTCTGCCTAAACCCCAAAATTTTCAAAGCTCAGACTTAAAATAACCATTATCACTACCAAACACACACATACACCCACATCATTTCTTATTCTTTACCTTTAGCATCAGACTGATTCTCAAACCGGTCCAGGGACAGCGTAATGCAGCGAACAAGCATGTTTGAGTCAACCAATGAACTGTTGATCTGATTTAAAAATATCTGGAACTAGAGAGAAATACTTTTTAGTGTTGCATTAAAAAAACAAACAAACAAAAAAACTCATCATACCTGAACACTCAAAGATGAGGTCTGACACAACAGCATTTCATACCCTTTTCAGAATGTGCGTGGCCAAGAGGTGGACCCTAAACCAGTTACTCTGTTGCCACGAGGGGAACAGGTCACAAATCCCAGCAGGAAGAGCTATGAATAGGGTTTGGCGAGTAGGGCAGCAGTAAATGCTCTTCAGATTTCCAACATTTTGAAAGAGTACAGTTTTTCAGGGTTACTGGAGAAACTGCCTTGAATTTTGAGCACGAGCACCTAAAACATGCACTTGACCTGCATAAGGCATCACGGACGTGGACAATTTCCCCTTCTCTTCAGAAACAGTAGGTTCCAAATGCCAAAATACTAATGGTCATTCCCTTTTTGTTATCTCTAACAAGAGTCAGAGGAGATATACACTCCCAGGCTTTCCTCATCCAGTCCAAGCCAATACTGGCACTGAGGGCTGACCAAAGGATCCCTAGAGCAAGTACCTTAAAAACAAGGAACGGAAAAATGTCAAAGTCCTGGCACCACTAAAATCTCTTTTGAAGTTGTGTGACTTCAATGAGACCAAGACTTCCTGTGCTATTTGTTTTGAAAGAAAGAGATGAGACAGCATGGCTGCTGGCCTCCATAGTTCCTCCAGCTCCAGGTTTTCCTAAACTTATTTTGTACAGCAGATAGTGCTAGGGAGGAATACAGTGAGGGATTAAAAATGAAAATTCAAAAAAAGTTACCGATCAATAAACAGGAACCACACAAAGTATAGACAAATCTTCTGGAGAATGTGTGAGTTCATTTACCAGAGAACAACCTGATATTAAATACATCTTTCTTTCAAATTTATCTCTGTTTCTATTCTCCAAGGTCTGCCAGACAGCAACCACAGAAAAATTACAGTAACGAGGGTATGAGGTCATTCAAAACCTACCCAACAGCTGATGTTATACGCACAAAGTGCACAAGAGCATGAAACCACTTTGCACAGAGCTGCCCATTCTTGATCTACATATGCAACTAAGTTTTATAGGTAATTACATCAGTCATGACTTCTTAAAATGTCTGCAAGTTCAAACGACATCAAGGATCAGATCTGTCCTTTTGCAGGATCAAGTATTAATGAACATTAAGGCTTCTCCATGAAGAATCCCATCCCCCAAGCTCCAGCAAAAGATTTTTTTGAAGCCTGTCTCAATGTCCACAACTATCAGCTTAACCTAAAACCCAGTGACTTCACAGGAAATGTTCTACCATCTTTGAGGCCTGACCTTAGACCTGCCTGATCATGTAACAGGGCAACATTTTCTGAACAGCTCAGCACTTGCTGACTCAGAGCAGTTGGGAGCACTTCTGAAAACACCAGTGTATGCAGCAACACACATGCTTGTGAAGACACTTTGGCAGCTCACTCCAAGCTCAACAATACCACCAAAATGGACAAACGAATCCGAGTTTCTTAGTGCTATGTTTGGTTACAAGAGCATGCAATTTGACCCACTGGGGACGGCTTTTACAAATATTTACCTTCTCATCTGTGTTGATGTACTTGTTGAACCTCTTGAATGCATCAATATTAAATTTCATCAGTTCTCCCAGAAGGTCAAAGTAACTCTGAAGCACATCTCGTGACTTGCACTCACTATCAACAATGCAGTAGAGAATATGCTGGCACGGGAGGAAAACATGTTATTGCCACAGTCCAGCCCAAGCCAGCAGTACAGCACAGACTCTGATTTAATCACTATTTAAAACATTTATCTGCAGGTTTAGTTCTTAGATGACAGAACTAAAGATGATCATTTAGGTGAGTCTTCTGTTAAATTCACTTCTCAGTGATGCAGGTTATATACAACTGGCCACCCCATACCTGGTTGCCACAAGCAGAATTCACAAACACTTTGCAAAAATCGCCCTATTCCCAGTGAAGATTTAACACTACATTTTTACCCCCTTTTGAACTTATTACAGATAAATCCTTCCTGATTGCTATGGAGATACGATACAGAGGAAGCTTGCCAT